TTTTTTTTTTGCGGAACCGGGGATTGAACTCAGGCCCTTGCACTTGCCAGGCAAGGGCTTATTCTACTGAGCCATCTCCCTGGCCCCTCTCTCTAGGATTCTGAACACTATGAACATATAAAAACATTAATGTGATTTTAAACGGCATGGCTTAAGTGGCACTGCTAGCCAAATAAATCATCTCTACTTCTTTACCACGGTTGTTACCACAAAATATTTCTCAAGGAAGTACCGGCAAAGCACAGAGCAAAGTGAACCCAGTAACCTCAGGAAGGAGGGTTTTCAACCAGAATCTCTAAGTCAAAACTGAGTAAGTACAGGGAACTTGAGCTCTGTGACATATGACACAGGACTGACCCAGACAGCCTGAACCAGACACATGCATCACCACCAGTCGTGGACCCTCTAGAGCAAGCTGCACCTCCTCAACTCACTCAACTTGCTCCTCTTCTGTTTTTCAGAGCTGTCTCTAAAGAGGCTGGGGGTGTAGCTCCGTGGCAGACTGCATGCTTCGTGAACTCAGACCCCGGGTGCAAGCTTTAGCCCAAGATTAATAAATAAATAATAACTCCATGGCAGATTTTATACGCATTCTTAAAGAACTGAGGAATGTCCTACCATCTTCTGTCTATCTCTAAAAAAAGTATAAAAACAACTAACACCACCACCCCGTTAACACTCACATAGAAAAATGACAGATTTCAAGCACACGCTTACCATATTCTGCAGCACAGTTGCTCCTTCCTGAATTCTTTCACGATCATTGCTATCTACCACAAAAATAAGGCCCTGGGGAAAAATTATTTCAATAAATTGTAACAAAATTATAGCAATTAAAAGACACACTAAATTTTACACACACACACACACACACACCCCAGAGGGGTAAAGGGTTAAGCACGAGGAAGACAATGTTTTACCAGAAGCTATAGTCAGGACTTGAATGCTGGGGGGTGGGGGTGGGGAGAAGAATGCTGTTTGGGATCTCTTTCTTTTTTTTTTTTTTTTTTTTTCGGAACCGGGGATTGAACTCAGGCCCTCACGCTGCCAGGCAAGCACTTATTCTACTGAGCCATCTCCCCAGCCCCCAGGATCTCTTTCTTTTTGGTATTTTATGTATTTATTTTTTGGCAGAACCGGGGTTTGAACTCAGACCCTTGCGCTTGCCAGTGAAGTGCTTATTCCACTGAGCCATCTCTCCAGCCCCTGGGATCTCTTTCATAAGCTGTGTTAATCATTATAAAATGTTATCCCTATTTTTTCACCCAACATACTTAAACACAGGTAACAAAATAGCCACAAAGTGAGGATATAAGGAAAAATAAATCAGGGACCCTAAAGAACCATGTATTTACTTGAATTACTTACTGTAAGGCATGTACAATATGAAAAGAATATGGGGAGAGCTGAAGGGAGTGGATCCTTTACTGTGATTTATTTTTATTTTATTTGTTAGAGGGTCTTTCTACACAGTTTACACTTGCATTGATCCTCCTGTGTTAGCCTCCCCAGAGCTAGGATTACAGGCATGTACCACCAAGCCCAGTTTTGGGCCAGCGCAGTACACCTAGGGTTCCCGGGCTGCATGACACATGGTACCAGGGATTGAACTCAGGTTCCTGTGCTTTCCAAGCAGGCACTTAGACTGCTGAGCCATCTTCCTAGCCCACAGTGATTTTATGAACAACACTATTTATATAATTTTCTGTTACTGTGGAAAACAACAACTTTGCTCTAGACTGTTATCTGCCAACTCTATACTAAGGAAAAGGCTTAAGCAAAATGTCATGAAAACTTAACAGGTTTGCTTGATTAAATAAAAATCTGAGGAAAGGGGCTGGAGAGATGGCTCAGTGGTCTAAAGCACCTACTTAGAACAAGCTTAGCAAAGCATCAGGGACCGCGGTTCGATCCCCCAGCGCCACATGCCAGCCAGCCCCGCCCCCTGGTGGGCTGAGCTGGCCACACACACACACACACCACTCTCTCTCTCTCTCTCATAAATAAATAAATAAATAAATAAAAATTTTTGAAAAAATCTGAGGAAAAAAGACAGCAGTAACAATTTTTAAAAGTACTCAAATATTATAATCTGGATTATAGGGCTGGCGAGATAGCTCAGTGGACTAAGTACGTGCTTCAATCCCTGGCACCACATGTCACACTGGCTCCACCCCTGTGCACAATGAGCTGGGAGACTGTGAGTCTGGGAGTGGTGACACCCTCCTGTAATTCTAGTCATGGGAGGCTTGAAAACAGGAAGATTACTAGGAGTCTGAGCTGTGCTCTGAGACCCTGCACAAGATACACAAAACCCCACAAAAAACTAAAAAAAGAATTCTGGATTACAAAAAATGTGCATTTGGAAGCAATTAGTTAAACTAAGACTTTTCTAAAATCTTTTAAGTAGGAAAATATAAAATTCTTAGAAGACAAGAACAGATTAATTTCATAGCTTTAATTTTTTCCTATTAAAGTAAGAATTTACTCTTCTTTTCATAATCCTGACTCCTACTTCTCATCACTTATAGCACTTAAAATAATCCTGTGCTTTTACTTATTTATATACGTGGACTAGATACAGAAAAAAAGGGCCTGTCATTTGCTTTCTGTTTATTCCTCAGCATCACCAGGGGCATCTAAAACTTATTTCAAGCTCTGGTCATAAAATGATAATATCCTTGTCTAATGTTATGGCTTAGATACAGAATGTTCCACAAGCTTTTTCTTCTTTTTCTTTTCTGTATTTTAGGGAAGGGTCTACACAGTTTTCAGGGTGTCACTACCAGATTGGACTCGTAGTGATTCTCCTGTTTACAGCCTCCCAAGTGCTGGGATTATAGGCTCAAGAACGCTACCATGCCTAATTTCAACTCCATCTCAGTGCACCCTGAGGGCAGGGCAGGCAAGGCTGGCCCCGGGTATCTGCCCCCCACCCCTTTGGCCAGCCCTCCACAAACTTCTCCTGTGGGCTTTGGAAAGAGATGGGATCCTGGGGACGCAACACCCATTAGTGCATTAATCCAGCACCTGAATGTGCTGGTAGGTGCTCTGCTTAGTAAGGGGTGTGACAGAGAAGGTTCCGTCTCCCTCCTCTGTTGCTCTCAGGAACCGGTCTGCTTCCAGGCAGCAATGACATGAGCAGCTTTTCCTCTGCCAAGATCCCACCATGCCTTTTCTGACCTGCAGTGAACCAACCACAGTCTCAAAAGCAGGGCTAAACTAAACCTCCCCTCCTTTGCATGGTGGATATCAGACACAGTGGATCAGTGATGAGAAACTAAGACAAAAATTCTCATATCAAGTAGTATTTCTATTGGAAACTATCAATAGAATACCCTTTGGAAAAACTTTTGGTATTTTCTGAGACAAGAGACTATGATGCAAAAAGACTCAAATTCAAACCTCAGCCCTAGTTGTTACATTATTTTTCTGTAAGCTGGGCTTTTCTTCTATAAACATTTATAAGCCTGTTAAAAATGAAATATAAATGTATATAAGGACCTATCCTTCATGTAGCTATAAAACTTATTATGGTTGGCTTATATAATATATACAAATATATATATATATGTATATATGTAATATGTATATATGTCTTTTACTTTGACTTCCTATGTCAAAAGCTGTTGTATACCTTAGAATCCACCCTTAAGAAAAACAAACATAGTTCATATATATGCAGTTCAGGTGCTGGAAGATGGCACAACATTGCAAATGTTAAAACATCAGGTGTTTATAGGATCATACTTTAACTGTGCCTTAAAAAATATAAACTTAGTGGTAAACAAAAACTGATGAGCAAACCCTTGGGGAGTGGAAAAATAGAACTGGGACTATGTTGAAGACAAAAACTCTCATCTGAAGACATTCTAAAGAAGTTACAGTTTTCTCAAACATAAAATACACTGACTAGAACATTGGTTCCCAGCAGGATGAAATTTTGCCCCTAAGACATACTTTCCAAGCATAGACACATTTCTAATTGCTACAAATAGTGTTTGAGGTGCTGGTAGCATAACTAGTGGGTAGACAACAACGCTATTAAACATCCCTAAAGTATAAAAGGGCCTTCCTTACACCCGCAAACATCAACAGTGTTGCGGTTCTAAACCCCAACATCAGCAGCACTAGAGGAACTCACCAGAACTACAGAATCCCAACATCAGCAGCACTAGAGGAACTCACCAGAACTACAGAATCCCAGGCTCAGCCAAGTGCTGCTAAACCCATCGCTATCTTGGATCCACTTCCAGGTAAGCCGGGCCTGGTGGTGCGCGCCTGTAATCCTACCGCTCAGGAGGCTCAGGCGGGAGAAGCGCCCGGACTCTGAGGCCAGCCTGGGCTACACCGTCAGTTCAAGGCCAGCCTCAACTACTCACAACCAGACCCTGTCACAAACAAGTTTAAAATCCAGGTGATTCCTACACACACTATGCTTGACAAGTCCTGACGAGGCCTGGCTGACAAGCTCCAGAGATTCTGCTCAAGTGCTCCTGGGCTGTGACTGGGCTGGTGAGGCTCAGTTCCCCAGGGGAGTCTAATATGCAGTCAAATTTGAGAACTCCTCATTTGCAGAACCCTTAAAGTCTCCCCCAGGCTGGAACATGTACACCACACAACAGCATAACAATGTACCTTAGAAGTCAACACAACAGATTCACCTTCATTATGTTCCATAAGCATAACTAGGCTAAAAGAAGGTCTGTCACTGTCTCACATGCATTAGAAACTACTATGACAGAAAGCCATACATTCCTTTATTTTCTAAAAAACAAAAGAACCAACAATGAGAGACACTCAATTCATCCTTAAGGTCCACATCGCAGCACTGCCACCTCAGCTTTCAAAATCGTACCGAGATGGCTACATAGCCCTCCACAGGAATGAATGTGGTCCTCCAAGGCATGCCTGAGTGTGTACTACACAATACGGGAGTGGTGAAAAGGAAAGTGCCCACTCATACAGTAAATACCAACATCCAAGCAAACAGGACAGAGTCCAATCAGTTCAAAAACTGACCAGCACCATACAGAGACGTTATAAAACCTTACAGCACTCCTTACCTGGGTATTCTGGAAGTAATGCCTCCACAGAGGCCGAATTTTATCTTGACCACCAACATCCCACACTGTGAAACAAATGTTCTTATATTCTACTGTTTCCACATTAAAACCTACAAGGAAAAAACAAACAATGATTGTTAGGCACAATAATGCACCATTGAAATGATAAAGTCCTCTATTCTCTTCAGAATAGCTTTGGTAAAGTCCTAATAAGATCATCAGCAAGTTTTACACACAGAGCACTACTTCTGTAAGCTCTGCCATTACACTAGAAACGAAATTCATCTATAAGCTTTCTTACCAATGGTAGGAATGGTGGTGACTATCTCCCCTAACTTGAGTTTATACAGAATGGTCGTCTTGCCAGCAGCATCCAATCCAACTAGAAAAAGACATTATATATTTAAATTGTAGATCAAAACACACAAAGACATCATTTTAAAGTAACTTACAATCTGAAAGTAAAAATTGTGCTTCAGTGTGGGGCACATGCCTGTAATCCCAGACTCAGAAGCCTGAGGCACGAGAGTTGTGGTGAGTTGAAGGCCATCCTGAACTGCAGGTAAGACAGGGAGACCCTGGCCAAAACACCAGAAGAAAAACAAAGAGGAAAAGGAAGTGAGTAATGGGTTTTTTTCTTTGGGTGGTGGGGGAATCCAACCAGAAAAGGGTTGCCCTAGCCTACTGTGGTGGCATCTGCCTGTAAAGCAAGCACTATGGGAAGCTAAGGTAGGAGGACCACAAATTTAAGGGACTTAGCAAAACTCATCTCAAAATTTAAAAAATAAAAGAGTTGGGGACAGCCTGTGTGAGAGGCCCGCGTGCAATTACCACTATTACAGGAAGAGGGGAGAGGGTAGGCCTTATTACAGTGATAAAAAGGTCAATGTAAATGCCTTTATATATGAGTATCTCAAAACCTATATATTCTTCATTATTTGCCAAAAACTTCTCAAATAGCAAAGTCTTATTATCACATTAATTTTTAAAATCAACTGAATTGAGTATTATTTAAGCAAGGCACCTTCGTAATTAAATTCAAGCATGACTTAGCACACATGAAAGCAGTGCTAGTAAGTTAAGAGAAATGAGGTCATTTCATGTGTCTAGTTTATATTCCATATAAGTTAAACTTAACTTCTATCAGGTTATTCCAAAGCAATACTACCCAATGCTTAATTCAGACTTCTTCCTCTTATATAAGGTAACAAAAGGTCTTTCCTATCCTGTTCCCTAACAAAGAGTAGTCTAAAGATTTATCAAGGAAAAAAAAAAAAAGCATCATCATCAACAATAAAAAAATTCCAAATGATGAGACAACAACTTGAAAGAAATACACAAAGCAACGGGCCAGGTTTGGTGGTGCATGCCTATTAATACCAGCACTGAGGCAGGAGCATCCCTGGGAGTTCCAGGCCAGCCTGAGCTACAAAGTGAGTTCCAGGCCAGCCTGAATTACGTAGTGAAATCTTGTTTCAAAAAGACAAAAATATAAACAAGCCAAGAAAAAAAAAACCCACAAGGTAGCTCCTTTAAACAATTTGAAATGCAAAAAGGACAAAGCAAGGCCATGCAAAAAGCAATAACATCTTTTAATTTACAAAGCTATGCCTAGAGGGGCCGGGGAGATGGCTCAGTAGAATAAGCGCTTCCCTGGCAAGCGCAAGAGTCTGAGTTCATCCCCCAGTTCCGCCAAAAAAAATAAATAAAATAAAATAAA